AGCAAATTTATATGTTCGTAAAGAGTATTTGCACCCAATGACAATACTGTTGAGTCTTATTAAGTAATTGACAAGAGCAGTTTCGTTGCTATACTGAGAGAATATTTCGCCACCAATTCTTCCTCTCTTACCCTCACGCGCTCCACTTCGTTCTCTTCCTCTGACACATTGTAAAAGCAAAGCATTAAATGAAAAGCAAACAACTCTTCCTCCTCTTCAAAGCATTCTCTCAGTTTGTTTCTTCTTTACTTCCGATCTCTCTCACAAACTAAACTGAAGCAAATAGCAGTTTTCTTACCAACATGAACCAAACACCTAATCTAATGGATTTCTCACCAAGTCAGACTCTTTTTTTTTTTTGTTATTTATCTCATTGAGACCAAAATTCCCTCTACTTTAAACTATATGCCTCTATTTTATTTTGATTTTTTTTGCTCATTAAGATAATTTGTTCGGTTCTATTTTCTTGTATTGAGTATTTCTTTTAAATTATTTTTTCTTTATGTGTTTTTACATTTTTGGTGTTAAAACTGATTCTCACTAAGAATTTATGTAGTGGACTTAAAGACGAACCTCATTTTCGCCTTAACGAGATAAACATATATGTAGACTGTAGTAACTAGTTATGCGCAAATAATATTACTTATATATATGGTTAAAATAACAAGTTACATGTTTGCATAGCATGCTAAAACGTTTATAGTAACATATAAACATGAAAATATACCTTCATTTTTTACTTACCAAGGTAACTAAATTATAAAATCTATTTCTTATGGCAGTTTTGTTTATTTAGTGCGTTACAAATAAATATAACCTGTTATTAAAAAGAATTGTTGTGCTTGAATACACAATTTTTAAAGTATGAAAATGTTGAAATTGTTTTTCAATAAACTCAATATATAGCGTGTTATATTTATATGTATCACGACAATGTTAGATATAGCGTGTTATATTTACATGTATCATGATAATGTTATATATAACGTGTTATATTCATTTGTAACAAGACAATGTAAAAATATTGTGTTATATTTATTTGTAATAAGAGATGTTAAATTGTATTGTTTTTTATATTTTTGTGGTTTTTTGTTATTAGACTTTGTTGGTGTTATCCCACATAGATTAATTTGAGTTTTGACTTTGTATTAGAAAGAAATAAAGAAAAAAGAGATGAGAAGTTTAAGAATTGATAGAAAGAGATGAAGAGACGAGAGAAAAAAAGGAGAAGACAATAAAATATAAAAAAACATTAAATGATGATCGTCAATATATTCACCACGCGCAACACACACAAAATATTTGTTTCTTTTGTTGCCACTTGCTTTTTTCGGTATCTTTTTGTTAGTTTCTTAAGGCTAAATTTCTCTTTGCTACTTTTTTAATTTACTCTTTCTTTATTGTTAATTACCAAATTCACTCTTCGTTAAATGTGTTGAAATCTTCTAATGATGAATTAATCAGATGACAAGAAAAAAAAACTCAAACAAAGAGATTAAGTATTTTTAGTGGTAGTAAGTAACAATGTATGTTAACCTCTCTCTTTTTGGTTATCAATCATCATGTAATCATTGTTTATTGGGTTGATGTTGCGATACTTATTTAGAAAGTTCTATTTCTGATTATATGCATAATAATTCATATATATTTGACCAAAAAAATCATACAGTACATTATAGTAGAATATAAAACAGGACCCCATTATATAATTTATTAGGAGAATCATCTATATTTGAGCAAAAAAAATAAGACTGTGCTCGTGGGTGGAACCTCCGTTGACCGTGGATCCCAATGGCAATGGCCTCTTCCTACGGAATATTTAAATGCATGATCTTAATTAACTTTACAATTAATTTTAGCTTAAATCAATGTACGATGATTATAATAAATAGGTTAACTTAATCACCTTATGAGGCGGTGTTGATTCATGTTTTCGTCGAGGAGACTCACGCAAATCTTAATTGATTTAACATGAAATGAAATTAAAAAGGTATTTAATTCCCCATGGCTAGATTTGCGTAAGAAAAGTTAATGAATTGTTCATACATAAATTAAAAACAAAGTTCGTCTAAGAAAAAGTAAGAAATAAAAAATAAATCTCCATAGTTGGATTTGCATATGAGTTTGTGCAAGTACATGTCATTAATTATCTCTGACTAATGCCAAAAAGTCAAATAAGAGTAAATATTAAGAAATGCTTAACCTGCAAATTGGTTTTGGTAAAACAATATATATTACGTTTTACTCTTACTTCTATCGTATGATATTTTGTAACAAGTTTTGATCCAAATGTTTCTTTAAGTAAGGAACTAAAACGAATCTTTATTAAAGAGTGTATTTTCTAAACGTTGCATTGTAATAGACACAATAACTCAAATTAAAAAGTTGGTTAAATCTAGCTAGCTAGGGAAATTTTCTGAATTAAACTCATAGGGTTAATTATAATTAATACCATGTTGAAAAGATTCCATATCTTCCAGCTAACAAACTATCTGAGAATCATTTTTTTTTAATTAGCTATACTTATACAAAACATTATTAATTAAGTAGCTTACCTTTGATATAAGTTGTTTAATTTCCCAAATATATTCACCAAATACTATATATATATATGTATGCTTTTGCCAAATTTTACAAAAGATAAACAACAAATTAGTTCTATCACGATAACAAACTTATAAAACCAGGTTTAATTGAGTATATTAAACTCTGTTATGAATCCAATAGTAATAATAATTTAACAAAACTCGAAAAAACGGGGCTAAAATGTAAATTTTAAAAAGAAATGGGATGAATTCATAAAAAAAAACTAAGGAAAAAGGGGACTAAAATTGGAAGACTCAAAAGGTTCACCCATCGAAGTGCCATTTTCGTCGCTGTGGTAATAAAAGCTATAACAATTATTAAAATACCAAGGCGAACTCGGTGGATACACCGAGTCAACGCACACGAACTCGCTCCATGACTCATCGTAACTCGTCTCCAGACTCGGTAACTCGACTATCTCGCTCAGTTCTTCCGCCGTCGACGAGGCAGCTTCTTCGCTCGACGGTGACAATAAC